TTCATCAAGCGGCTCTGCTGAGTGTTGTTATTATCCTTCATACAAAAATTTACATGTTAGCCATTTGTAATATGTCCTGGATTCGTTCAGTCTCCTACAGGAATTACATTCATATGCCACCAAATGACACCAGTTTTGTTACTCATCGTAAGATGCAACCAAATATTAGAAACTTGAGCGAATTCGGCAAAAAATTTCGAACAAAAAAACCCCCGATATTTCCGTCTCAACAAATTCAGTAGTGCGAGGAAAACTGGTGCAGATGCAGCACATTTTCCCTGCACTTTGCATGATTTCATCAAGCGAATATAGACGGTTTTGACTTTTTTAATGACTTTTGCTCTTGATTCAACATATGACAAAACGCCTAGTTTTTGTGTGCAAATTACAACTTTCGTTAGCCGATAATTTGATGTTAGAAAACTGACGCTATGTACTGCTTTGCAACAATAACTTTGTGCCAAAAAAATAGGATGATATCAGCAAACTTTCGATAATTAAGGCCAAATTATTTTACAAAATTCTCTAATTGTGGGAAACGACAAAGCTAACAATTCGAATGCACAAAGGACAAAATGATTATGCAGTGAAATCTTCAATGCACTTTTTCGATATCTCTGCAGAGAATTTCACAAATAAAGTCGAGTAACACTGTACCTAGCTATTCCAGAAAATGTTTTGCATGATAAATCCATGTCTTTGGAGAATGGATTTCCAAAAATCAGGAAAAACCAGTTTTTTAAAAAATCGGAATTTTATATTCTTTATTATACACACAGAACTAATGAGCATATCGTAAAAGAGCGGAAGAATGAATCGATGTACAACCAAACTGTCGACAGCTCACTCATGAGAAAGCACACAGAAATCATCCTTTTCGACAAGTTCACAAAAATAAGAATCGGAGGGTGCGTAAAAAAAGCGATATTTGCTTCCCAAAATCCTTTCTCATTGCAGCTGAGGTCTTAAGTAAAACTGTAATCCACCGTAAAGTCTTCTAGCGCTTATTTGCATCTGTAAACATT